TATTATTATTATTATTATTATTATTATTATTATCATTATCATTATTATTATTAACGTGTGGGATTGAAAACTACGTGGGGAAGTAGAAAAAGTGAAGGCGACTCGAGACCCGCGGAAAAGACACGTACGGGCTAATACGTATATCGGGTAATCGAGAGAGTCACCGGGAGACATTGCTCGCGCGATGAGCCCCACCAACACGCCGAAGCTACCTTTCTTTCCCTCTCTTGTTTCCTTTCGTCGATGTCGGAACAACGACGACGACCAGTTAGCTTGCGCGCTATCGGAGGAAATGGATTCATACTTCGGTGGCCTGAGTGTAAGAGGGTGCGAGTCCGTGTGCTGGCGTGAGGGGGCCCGTGGTAGTGGAGGCCAACGATCTCCTCGAGTATAGCGTAGCCGCCGAATGTGGCGTGTGTGGCGCTGTATGCGGCGCCGTGTGCGGCGTGTGCCTGCGCGAGGCCGAGGCGAAGGGCTAAATGGGCCCGTAGTTACTAAGGGCGGAAGGCCTCTCCTGTTGCACCGACTGCTGTTGCTGCTGCTGCTGCTGTTGCTCGCAGCCCGCGGTGTTCATGTCACCCCCCGCCGACTGGTGACGTCATACGTGCGAGAGGGGAGGTTGCTTGAGGACGTGATGGTGGAGATGATGTTGGGACGCGCTGGCCACGCTGCCAGGCGGAAGTAGAGCGCTGCCTGGCCCCGGTGCCGGTGGATACGGCACTCCGACACGTCCTACGACGCCCTTGATGCTGGTGCTGCCGATTCCTCCGCTGACGCCGGTCACGCCAGCTACCATACCGGCGCCACCGCCTCCGTGGCCGCCTCCGTGGCCGCTTCCTCCGCTGAACAAGCGCCTCCACAGACGTTTCCACGAGTCGACCGTTTTCCCGCTCCAGATCCACACGCCTGACGTGATGCCTACCGCGAGAGCCATAAAGTACTTGAGCATCAGGACGGAGTAGAGAGGTCTTGCCCTTGGCTGACAGGGGCAGGCCAGCGAGTCGAGCCACTCGTTTCTTAACGACGTCTCGTACATGTGACAGCCCAACACCACTCCGGCTGGTAGCGTGTACAGAACGCTGAACACGCCGATGCGTATCATCAGTTTCTCCAGTTTGTCCGCTTTCGCTCCCGGTTGTCGCTTTATCACCGATCGGATTCGGAACAAGCTGACGAATCCTGCCAGAAGGAAGCTCGTCCCAAGCAGGAGGTACACGAACAACGGTACCAGAATGAAGGATCTCACTCCGTCCGGAGCCACGGTGCAGACCCCGGCCACTGGATCCCCTGCCACTCCCCCGGCTAGATACGCGGAGAACGTCTGGACCGCCGGTGCCAGCCAAGCCGCTAGATGAAAGTACTGGGAATACGAGGCTATCGCTTCGTTGCCCCACTTCAGCCCTGCCGCCAGGAACCACGTGAACGCGAGGATCACCCACCAAACCGAGGACGCCATGCCGAAGAAGTAGATCATCAGGAAGACGGCCACGCAGGCTTCCGGGCCCTGGGCCCTCGACTTCAACGCCGGTCCGTCGCAGGCTATCTCCTCGTGGCCGAACACGCTCCTCGATAGGTAACCTATCGATACGGCGAAGTAGCAGGCTGACAGGAACACTATCGGTCTCTCAGGATACTTGAAACGCTGGGTGTCGATGAGAAACGTGGTGACGGTCACGAGCGTGCTTGCGGCGCACAGGCCACTCCACAGGGCCAGCCAGACGGCCGCGAACCCTCGCTCTTCGGGGGTGAGAAACGCCCCGTGGCACGGGAGAGCGCAGTTCGGTACTCCGGCAATGTCCTGGATGATGTTGTTTCGGCCGATGCTTATCGGTGGCGCCGGTATGACTCCACTTACGGCCATGCCTGCCAGTCCAGCCCCCCCGTTGCCGATGTTGCCGGTGCTGCTGCTGCTGCTGCTGCTGCTGCTGCTGCTTATCGGCCCCGGAATGACCGTGCCCCCCGCCCCCAGGGGTACGAGGGGTGCCCTGCACCGGCACACGCAATCCCTCGCCCTTTCCCCCGGGGGATGCTGGCAGTTTTTTTGATTTTTGCCTGGCTTGCACCGAGGTGGTTGGGTGGTTTTGGACGGCCTGGTCGGGCGTGGCGGCGCTGCTGGTGGTGACAAAGGAGCGCCGCTACTCGCCGCTCCTCCCGTTCCGGATCCGTATCCGGTGCTGCTCGTGTGATTGTCCATGCACAAGTTGTCCACGTCGCCGAACACCGGCAACCTCTCGCAAGCCATCCTCTCCGGCCAGGAGAATCCATATTGCTGCATCAACGGTGCACAACCTGCCCGTGCTCTCTCGCACACGCTTCTGCAAGCCGGAAGAGGCTTGGTGTACTCGGGCAGACATATCGGCGTGTACATCGAACAGAGGAAGAACTTCAAATCTGGCGAACATTTGATCTCGACCAACGGCCAAAACTGATGCACCTCTAAGCCAGCCTCTTCCTGATTGTCGTGATTCAGCTCGTTCGGCATGGCTGTTAGATTGTAACCGATTCCGCGACACATCGGGATCGTGATCTCCTCGCATCGACCGTTCCCATTGACAGTCCCGCCGCCCAAAGACGAGTGTCCAACGCCGCTACTTCCACCCCCGACCACGCTGTTACCAGAGCCAACCATGCTGCCGGAGGCCGAGCCGCTGCCAGCCACGACGCCCACCATCGACGACGAGGAGGCGGATGAAGAGGCAGAAGAAGAACCGCTCGATACCGAGCCCACGTTACTCACTGGACTGATTGCCGATTCTAATCGCGCGTTTGGTAACACTGCCAGCAGCAGCAATGGCAATAGGGACGCCATCGTTCGGCTTGGAAGCAGCTTCTTCGCCCGTCGAACGTGTCCCATTCTCCAAGCTAGCTTCTTCTCGCTTACTCCTGCGTGGCTCGCATCACTCCGGCCTGCAACACACAAAACATCGCGTTGTTTTTTTAACAAACTTGCGTTTGTCGCGTTTCAAAAGTTTCAGTTTCTCTCAAGATTTTTCTAAACAACGTACAACACACAGCGAGACATACCGCTTCGTTTTTTAAGAATATCACGTTCGCGCATTTTCACGACCCCTTAACCGAGGTGAGAGTAAAGCACACGGTTTACTCGTCCAACACAACGGTGCGAAATGAATGCAAAAATAGTCCGGAATCCCCATGTTTTAGCACGTTTCTCGTTAATGCGTGTGTCACTGGTGCTCGCCAAACACGAAATGTTTTAGCTGGCGTATACAATGTGTGCGTATCAATTAAGTTAATGGACGGTCGTTAACGCTCCATTATCTTTCAATTTCGTTGCGTTCGTGTTTCCTCGAACACTGTGTTTGTTGCCCAATTTATAGTCGGAGTTGTATCATACTGATAAGCTGCCTAATGTAACTCAAAAAATACACAGTTATCTGGTCTACGCTTCATTTCATCGAAGAAATGATGAGGTTTATTCAACTTGGTCGAATCAATCTTTTCATCGTATTTCGGAATAAATGTTTGATTATAATAAAATCGAGATTGTGCTCGAACAGGATGGAACAAAAAAACGTGTTCGATCCGAGAGATCCTCGCGATGGTCCTAATTAAACCCTGAGAACGAAATGGTTCTCGCTATAGGAGAAAGAGAGAGAGAGAAGAGACATTGGTCAAAGTTGTAGTTAGCACAACGTTATATAACGCAAAATGTTGGTCGGAGGCGATCAACCGGCCCGATGCTCGTATTTGCATAACTACCCGCCGAATCTCGACTCGTTCGTTAAGGACCGAAAGACGCGACCGTCGTCGTCGTCTGCGAGCCTAACGAACACGAAGGGGGCGCGGGGCTCGGGCTCGGGGTTCAGGTGGCCGCGCATAAATCAACGAGCAGTCGCAACTGAGAGGCTAGATCCTTCGCTAGAGAACTGCCATGGAAGAGGATGCACACTCTGCCGATTGGCACGTCGTTGGAGTCATTGGCGTTCCTCTGGATATCTCTCTCCGGCGAGGGAAACGATGGAGAAGAAACAGAACGAAGGGGAAGAAGGAAGGTGGAAGATGGAGGAACGCAAAGAAACGCGCGCGAGTGGAACAGACGCGAATACGACGAGAGAGTGGAAAGGTTAACAAAGGGAGAGGGGGAAGGGGGCGACGGAACGACGACAACGTCGGTGGATCTTATAATAGTCGTGCCGCGGATAACACGTGACCGGGGCGAAATGTTATTGTAGGAGGCGGTGTTAGTTTTACCGTTTGTTAACTGCTAGCACCCCGAGAGACACGCGCGTTTCCCGCGTGCTATTTATAAAACGTAAAACTCGCCACTGTTGCATCTTCCTCGCGAGAGAACGACTGCTGCTGCTGCTGCTGCTGCTGCTCGTGCGCCTCTCTCTACGCCTTCGGCCGCAAGGCTACGTGTGTGGCTCGTGCCGGAACGGAGATTGACACGCGCGAGGAAAGGATCGCGGGGAAACTGCTCGTGTCCTGGGCCACGACGTGAGCTAGCCGCCTCGACAGATGGAAGAGGATTGAGAGAGAGAGAGAAAACGGAGAGAGGTTACTTTCACGCGGAAACATACACACATGGCGGTGACATTTTCACACGAGAGACTAGACGAAACGACACGTGTTATATTTCGCATTTTCGTGCGAAGGAAAAGCTTAAAGGAAACGAGATAATTGAGATCGTGCGACCGTCTATAGTCGAGACGGCCGTGTTTTTTCCTCCTCTCTTGCCTGGATTTACAAACGAGTCTATGCCATGCAGAGTGGTTGTAACTGACGGTTTCTCGCTTTGCCGCGAACAATGGTATTGAAATGAAACGCTGCGTCGAGAGAGAGAGACTGCGAGCGAGACTTGGAGAGGATCGAGGATCCTTAAATAAGCTGCAGTTTTTAAACGTTGGAAATCTACAAGTAGCCAGCCTGATCGATCGTCGCTGCCGTCGTCGTCGTCTAGGGGTCAAATAGTCGTGGCATTCGTGCATCCAAGCGCCGGTTTTAATGAAGAAGGAACGTATAAAAAGCGGCTGCGCCCTACCGGTGCCAGTATTCAAGCACGAGAAAAGGTCAACCTGCCGGAACGAGAATCCGATATTCATGGCCGTCGGCTCGTAACATTTGAATGGCTGGCTTTAATCGGTCTTTCGCGGTGACTTTGCGTTGGACGGCGCTTCTTCGTTTTTCTTTTTTTTTTTCTTCTTCTTCCTTTCGTTTCACAGCCACCCCGTGCCATGCCTGCCTGATATTTGGAAACACGTGACTCATGCGAGCGGAACACCCACGCCTACTAAAGATACCCTCCCCCCC